CCTCTGCTCCTTCAGTCTACACTGCAGGCTGTGAGCCAGGCCCAGCTAGCAGCCTAATAGCCCTGGGGATTCCCACCGGGAGGAGAGGCGGTGCCTCTGGACACTTTGCCAGGAAGCAGAAGCAAATCTCTGGCCTCTGCTGGCTGTAGGCCCCCTGCAAGTCGCTTTGCCACCCAACCCTTGGGCTCTCCCTCGGGACCAAAGCCTGGCAAATGCTCCTCACAGCAAACCTTGCTTCATCCTGAGAGGCAGGTAGCAGGGTTATCCTCACCTTCCACAAATCCAAAGAGCTGAGAGGAAGTTAATTTGCTCAAGGTCACGAAGGCGTTCAGTGCTGGAGCTGGGCTTTGAGCACAGGCAGCCGGGGCCAACCTGCTTCTTAATCCTGAGGGCAAGGTCAAACTGACCCATTTAGGTGTGACCTGTCCACATACATTGCATCTGGCCCACAGTAATTTTTTACAAAGTCAAGCCAGCTTTCATTTTGAAATGACTCAGAAACATCTCCAGCTTCTCTTGAAAAGTCTGGCTACAGACAGCTTTCCCACATCACCACAACCGGGAGTGGCCACCCTTGAATTAGGTCATGATGTCCGTGCCCACCCAGACTCACCCACTCATTGATGTTACCTGCCTGGCCACTGGAGGGACGTGTCTGCTGTCCCTCATGAAGGCAGGGAGTCCTGAGATGGAGACAGTGGCCCAGAGAAACCAGGTGCTTACCATGAGACAACCAGCTCTTCCTGTACGGAATGAATCCTATGGAGGTGAATCTGGCCAACTGGGGGAGGGTTGAGGAAAGCACAGACATGCAGAGCCACAGGGCGAGGTCGGGGCAAATACACTTTATTCAGTCCTGGCATCAGACTGGCGGAAGTCCTGCTGTGGGTGCCAGTGCCCCAGACGAGGGACCCCTCCCTCAGCTACGAGACTAGTTCTCCAAGACCACAGACAGAGACATCTCTTCACTCACATGACGTTTTGTTTTTTTTTCATTGTCTTTTTTGTTGTTGTTGTTTTCTTAAAAAAAAAAAAAAAAGAGAGAGAGAGAGAGAGAAAGAGAGAAAGAAAGAGCGCAAGAAAGGCCCAGAGCCGGAGCACCAAGCTTAAAGGAGGCAGCTGGTGGCTTTGTCAGCGAAGGGAACGCGTGGGGCAGAGACCTGCGGAGACCCTGGGCAGGGGTCCCGGAGGACTCTGGGACCGTTTGTTCCTGAGATTTGTGTGTGTGAATGAGAGTGTGTGAGCACCCGGAGGGTGAACCCACGCCGGTGAGATACAGGTAGTGAGGGCGGAGGGGGTGTGGGGAGGCCGGAGGGGCGGGGCTCGAGAGGGGGAGAAGGGGAGAGGGTAACAGGATGGGGGCAGGGTTCCCAAGGGCACCCTGAACAGGACACAACTTCCTAATTTCCTCCTAACAGCAGCGCCTACCCCGTTTCTCACGTGGAAAACAGACGCAAACGCCCACCTCCATTCCCCTGAACCCATCCTCAGTCTCCGGCCGACCGGCGGTCTCTCTCAAGCTGTTGTTTAGACGTGGGTCTCTTTCCTGCCACTCCATCTGCTGTCACGCCTCAGTCCCAACCCCCTAGCACCAACGTGCTTTAGTTTCTCCCACTGAATACTGCAGCTGTGGTTGTTGAGGGTGGATCTGGATGGATTTAGGAAGGGGCCGTGGGCTTAGGAAGGAGCTGAGAGGGTGCCCTGAGATGATAGGGCGCTTCCCCACGGGGAAGGGAGCAGCAAGAACCCTGTCCCCAGACTAGTAGGCATCTTGGTTCTGAGTTATCATGAACAGTCCCTCTCTAGGTGGATTTCCAGAGAAAGACCCCATTCTTAATTTCCAGTTGGGACAAATAAAAGGGTCGTTTCTGGGGACCACATTAGGCTGTAAAGGCAATCGCGCAATTGGAGGAGGTGATAGGCGAGGGTGCCCACAACAGGGAAAAGGGGCTATGCCACTTAAAAGAGTTTGAAGCCCAAAGCAACCCTTTAGGGCCAGTTAGTTTCTTTCTCTCCCTTCCGAGTGCTTCTCCCATTAAGGCAGTGACACCCCGTCGGTTGAGACGAAGCCACAGGCTCCAGGATCAAAGATTTTTTAGGATAGCTCTACACTCGCTGCCCTCCTCCACCGAGCAGGAGACATAAGCTAGCAGCTCAACTGGGACCAGCCCCCTCCTCCCAAGAAGCATTAAGCATGCGCAAGGGGATGGTCCAAGCGGAGGGGGCGGGCCCTAGCGCTCCCCGAGTAAAGGAGTGCACCCCTCCCCCCTGGGGGGAGGGGCACGAGAGGAACGCGCGGAGCTGCCCGGTCGCATCGCCCCCTAACCGAGAAGGCAGGCAGAGGGCGGAGGGATTCGCGAGCAAGGGAGGGGGCGTGTCCTCCGGCCACGAGGAGGGGCGTGTGCAAAGTGGGGGAGGGGTTCAGGTCTGTAAGAGGGATGGGAGGTGTATCGGAGGGGGGCTGGCTGCTGGTGGCTGTGCGGGAGGGGACAAGATGGGGAGGGGCTTGGATGTCAGGGGAAGGAAGGGGGGTTGGGTTGCCTTGGGGAGTGTCTGCGGGGGAGGGGTATGTCTGGATGGGGGGGATGGGCACGTCTAGGAGGGGGGAGGCTGCGCGGGAGATAGGGTGCCAGCCTCGGCCTCCGAGGGGCCCCAATACCTGATTCCTGTATGTAAACAGCTGGTTTGGGGGCGTGCGCGCCCCGCTGACGGTGGGCTCAGTAGGTGAAAACCAGGTCGGCGATGCTAGACGGGCGCCAGTCCCCTGCGATCATCTCGGTAACCTCGGGGGTGCAATAGTCCGGGAATTCGAAGTGTGACGTGCCGGAGGCGGGCGGCAGGTCCGGGTCGCGGTCCAGGGCGCTGCAGTCCAGGCCGGCGGGGCCCGGGGGCAACCTGGACAGAAAGCCCAGCGGCTCCTCCCCCGACGCCACCGTCTCATCTTCGCCTTCCTCCACCGCTGCCGCCTCCTCCTCCTCTTCCTCTGGATCCTCGTCCTCCGACGGTGTTGGGGAGGTGGTGGTGGCGGCCGTCCCCTCGCCCGACGGCCCTTGGGCGCGTTCAGCTTGTCCTCGGGCGGCCCGTCCCGCCGGGACCATCCTCCACAGCTCCCGCCCAGGGGTCTCGACCAGGCGCACTTCCAGCAGCTCTTCGTCGTCGTCCTCGTCGTCGTCCTCTGGCGCCGCCGCGCCGCTCCCCAAAGGCCCTCCCGCCGCTCGGCGGCCCCCGCGGCCCGGCAGCTGCGGCCCGGGCTTGAGCCGGCTGCCGCCGCCGCCGCCACCACCGCCGCCGCCGCCGGGGGGGCGGGGCCGCGCCTTGGCGGGAGCCCCCTTGCTCTTTTTGCGCGGCCGGTACTTGTAGTCCGGGTAATCCGCCATGTGCTTGAGGCGCAGCCGCTCCGCCTCCCGCACGAACGGGATCTTCTCCGAGTCCTGCAGCAGCTGCCAGCGGCGGCCCAGGCGCTTGGAGATCTCGGCGTTGTGCATGTCGGGCCACTGGTCCATGATCTTCCGCCGCTCGTGCTGCGACCACACCATGAATGCGTTCATCGGCCTCTTGATGTGGCCGCTCGGGGTCTTGCACCAGCCAGGCTCGCGCGCCCCTTCCTCGGCCGGCCCGGGCCCCGGGGTCGGCGGCCCGCCGTCCCGCTTGGCCCGCCCGCCCCGCTGCTGCACCATCGCGCCTGGGCCCCGGGCCGCTAGACGCCGCCGGGGGCCGTCCGCATCCTCCGCGGCTGGGGGTGGGGGAGGAGGCAGCAGCGACGGAGGGGCGGCCCCGCCCCGCGGCTCGGCCCGGCCCCCGCGAGCTGGGGAGCGAGGAGCTGGGCGCTTGGGCCCAACGGACGGCGGGGGGAAGAAGGTCAGCGGCGCGGTTTCAGGCGGGCTCGGCGCGCCCCCGCCGCCCCGAGCAAGTTGCGCCCTGCCGCACGCCACACATTGTTTTGCGGGGGCGGAGGAACTGCACCCCCCAGCCCCCCGCGGGCTCCTCTTGCAGCCTCGGGCTCCGCCGCGGCCCGAGCGCGCCGCTCCCCGCCCCGCCGCCGCCTTCCAGTGTCTTTCTCCCCGCGCGGCCCCGCCGGCGCGCGCGCCACCCCTCCCCCTCGCCGTCTGCGGGCCGCTGCGGCGCGCGCGGGGCCGCCCCGTGTAAACACCGAGGTGCCCGCTTGGGCTGCGGCCGGGCCACGCCTCGCGCTCGAGCGTCGCGTCACCCGTTGCCGGGCAGAGAACCCTGTATTTGCATCTCCCAATCGCTGGCCGCGGGAGCGGGGCGGGACTCGGGATGCGGGGCTGGGCGGTCTCGCGCCTGGGATTGGGGGAGACCGATGAGATCTGTTTCTTTTCTTAGGTTGGGGGCTGGAGGGAAGGTGGGGGGGGGGACGCCGAGCGTGTTTTCCATCTGGCTCTCAAAGCTGACCTCGCTCCGCTTTGCCTTTGCAGTTTTAGCTTATTCAGTGACACCTGTCGCCAGGTAGGACTCCCGTCCCCTTTCTCATTGGGGGACAGCTTTCGAACCGCCCCAGAAGAGAATCTGGGGAGACCAAGACTCAAAAAAGCGTAGGGGTATAGGTCTGCCCTGTCACTGACGTAGCCCCTGCTACTACACATAGCTGGGTGCAGCCGACAGATGGGCGTAGTCAGTGCCTCCGGGCCCAGTGAACGAATCCCCTTCTTTCTCCTCTGAGGCGCCACAGGATCTTTCGGACGCCTGCTTCCGAAAGACGAAACCCCGCGGACACGCACACTCGAATCCTGGGCTCCACGTCCCAGCGCTCTCTGTAGCACACCAAGGGCCGCGGCCATCGGTGTTCTGGACCTGAACAGGCTTGAGCTTTTCCCAGGCCTGAGGCGAGGTTCGAGGACGCGTAGATACCCAAGTCCCAGGTCGCGCCCCGCGTGCGGCCGGCGAGGTGCGGGCCTCGGGCACGGCGCCCCGCCCAGGCCCCGAGCCGCGTGCAGGGGCGCGGGGCGGAGTCTGCCCTGGGGGCGTGGCCCAGCCGCAGGCCCGAAGCGCGTGGCTGGGAGGGGCTGCGCGCGGCCGGTTCACCACGTGAGAGCGGGTGCTGGCCCCACCCGCGTGTGCCACCCCCGGGGGAGGTCACCTTCACCGAGTTGTGGGAGTGGGCGCTGAGGCCTCTATCCTGGAAAGCAGGAGCTGGCAGGGGTCGGAATTAGGGCCTCAGAAGTGGCATTCTCCTGGGGTACGGTTGGCGGGGACGCGCCTCTGGCGGTAGAGCTCACCCCGCTGGGCGAGCCCAGACCGAGTCCAGCTTGAGGGTGTGGGGCCGGGAGGGTGGGCCGAGGTGCGGCTCCGCGGCGCGGGGGACGGGGCGGTGCTCTGGGTGCTCGGGTGGGTAGTTGGAGCATCTCCGGTGGGAGGGGGCGACTCTTAAAGGCACCGTGCGTTCGTTAGAAGGCTCTGCTTCCGCCCACATGCTTTCTCCACCTTGTTGGGATTAAGAGCTGGAAATCCCTGTATCTGAATCTTCAGGATTGCAGCCTGGGCGGTTCATTGTTCAAATGGTTGTCAGACTACCTGTGTTCAGGTCCTAGTGCTTCCTTTTGCTTATCCTTAAAATACAGATAATGCAGTTTTTCCCTCCTAGGTTTGTTTTTACAGATCAAATAGGATTAATGGATGTAAACACACACCCCTGATGTCTACTATGTGTTCTGTTAAAGTTCGCTGGGACTAGATTTCCCAATAGTTACACAAGAACAGCAACGCAGAGCTGCCAGCAGCATGAGAAAGAAAAAAGTTGGGATGGGGATGGATTTAACATTCAGAAAAGGTATCATAGTAGTGATGAAAAAAAATAAAACTTTCTTGAAGTTTCTAAAACTTTTCCACTTAATATTAATTTTTTAAAAAAATAAATGACATATGTTGTGCAGAGCCCTCTCTTCAGTATTTAGGAGGCCCTCCAGCAGGCTTTCCTTGACCCCTTAGCTGCCACTATTATTATTCCAGTGTATCTGGATAGTTCTTAGACTTAGATTGATTTGGCCAGGGTTCTCAGCTGGAAAGATGAGACATCCATTAGTCCACCAATCTTTCCTCCCTCCCTTGTTCCATACGTGGTGTATCTTTCTGTTGAACACACATTTTTTTTTTTAAGAGAGAGTGAGAGAGAATTTTTTTTAATATTTATTTTTTAGTTATTGGCAGACACAACATCTTTGTTTGTATGTGGTGCTGAGGATCGAACCCAGGCCACACGCATGCCAGGCAAGCGCGCTACCGCTTGAGCCACATCCCCAGCCCGAACACACATATTACTATTCTGTAGGCCCACTGAAGGATGTTGGGGAGCTCCAGATTGTTCAAGTTTTGTCAGTCTAGGCCCCTAAAACATCCCTGCTGTGTGGCCACCAGGACACATTCACACAGACAAGATGTCATGAGAGTTCAATGAGGATGATATATCTACACTTTTTATTTTAATTTTCCCTTAACAGACTAACCAGTAGGGTTACAGAACCCAGTTGGGTTACGGAAGTTTGCAAGATAGAATTTGGTTGTTTTGGGGTGGGTTTTTGTTGCTGCTGTTGTTTTGTACCAGAGATTTAATCCAGAGGTGCTTTATTTTTTTTTATTTTTTGAGACAGGGATTCCCAAAATTGCTTAGGACCTTGCTAAATTGCTGAAGCTGACCTCAAACTTTAAATCCGTCTGACTCAGCCTATTAGTTGCTGGGATTACAGGCATGTGCCACCACATCTGGCTCTGTAGATACTTAAGAGATACTTGGGGATAACTGAAAGGACCAGATGAACAAATAAAACCCTTTCACTTAGTTGTGCTATAAAGAAAATAAAGCAAGGTAATAGAGTGGATGACTGAGATTGAGGGGATGATGGAGATTAGGGGTGAGTTTAGATCTCAAAAAAGATAAGGAATCATCTACAAAAAGATCTGGGGCAGGGAGAACATTCCAGGCAAAGGAAAGAGCAAATGCAAGGGGATGGAAATGAGAAAGAAATAGGGGTAAGGTATTGAGGGATATTCCAGGCATGGAAAGACTACAAAACCAGAGACCTTCTGTACCAGCCATACACAGGAGCAACTGGAAAGACCTGGGGCCCCAGGGTAATATGGTGATTAGGCCTTAGAAAATTATGTGGAGTCAGGGACTAAGTTTCTTAGTTGCAGGGTATTATAATCAGAGTTGTTCATTAGGTAGATGGTTTCATATCTTGTGGATGGATTGGAGGAGTGAAATTTGGAAAGGGAAAGATCACATATTTTTTGAAACAAAAAATATGTGTACAGTCTTTGCTATTCTAATTCTTCCTCCCCTCCCCCAGTGAAGTGCAACTGTACCTAGTGGCTTGCTTCTGATGAATAGAATGTGGCAGAAATGATGCTGTGTGACATCTGTGATAGGGCGCAGGTTTTGTGATTTCCTCCTTGCTTTCTATCTTGTATTGTGTTTTCTGGGAGAAGCCAGCTGCCATGTTGTGAGGACACACTCAAGCAGCCCTGTGCGAAAGCTCAAGTGGCAAGGGACTGGGGCCTTCTGCCAACAGCCATGTGAGTGTGCCATCTTGGAATAGATCCTCCAGCCCCTTTTTAAGTCAAACCTTTAGAGGACTTCGGCCCTGGCCGGCATCTTCACTGTGGCCTCCTGGGAGACCCTTAGCTGGAACACCCAGCTAAACTCTTTCCAGATTGATGATCTACAGAAACTGAGATGGTGTTTGCTTTGTTAAGCCTCTAAGTTTGTGAATAATATATTATGTAGCCAGTAGATATAGTAGAACCCACTTATCCTAGGGGATACCCCTCAAGACTCCCAGCAAATGCTTAAAACTGTGGTTAGTACCAAACCCTGCATTTATATTTTTTCCTGTGTATTTGTTAAATACACAAACTTAATACCTTTTCCTTTATCATCAAGCACTTATGCACTGTGGGTGTAATTTTTGCAGTTTGAGGTGTAGAAGCAAAACTAGCATGAATTTCTTTTCCTTCTTCACAATTTTCATGGATAGCTAGTTTGTTCTTACCATAAAACTTAGCAACCTCAGCAAATAATTGTTTGTTTTTCCTTATTAAGTTCAGAACATTCACCTTTAGGAACATTCATTTATAGGAAGCATTTTGTGGCTTCTCCAAATTTAGGGGAAAAAGAATTTGGTGGGATCCATTGTCTTAATGCCAAGAAATACCCACTTTATTATTTTTTTTTTTCTTGAATATTCTTTTAGTTGTAGATGGACGTGATACCTTTATTTTATTTATTTATTTTTATGTGTGCTGAGGATTGAACCCAGTGCTCACACGTGCTAGGCAAGCACTGTACCACTGAGCCACTAGCCAGCCCGGGCCCCACTTATTAATAATTGGGGTTTTTTTTGTTTGTTTTCGTTTTGGGGGTTACCGGGGATTGAATCCAGGTCCTCTCACATGGTAGGCAAGCACTCTTTTTATTTATTTATTTATTTATTTTTTAGGCAAGCATTCTTTTTTTTTTTTAAATATTTATTTAGTTATCGGCAGACACAACATCTTTGTTGGTATGTGGTGCTGAGGATCGAACCCAGGCCACAGGCATGCCAGACGATCGATCGCACTACCGCTTGAGTCACATCCCCAGCCCCCAGGCAAGCATTCTTAACACTGAAATATACCCCCAAGCTTTTATTGAGACAGTCTCATTCAGTTGCCCAGGCTGGCCTTGAATTTGCACTCCTCCTGCCTCAGCCTCCCAAATAGCTGGGATTACAGGTGTGTGCCACCATGCCCAGCCCAATTTGGTATTTTTTTCCAGTTATTTTTTTCTTTTGGCACATCTTTTGTTTAGGTGTCTTCATTTTGTTTCCATAACTTCCAATTAAAACGGTAGCTTGGGGCTGGAATTGTGGCTCAGTGGCAGAGCACTTGCCTCGAAAGTATGAGGCACTTAGTGGGGTTTGATCCTCAGCACCACATGAAAATAAATAAATAAATTAAAGGTATTGTGTCCATCTACAACTAAAAAATTTTTTAAAATGATAACTTGTTCATTTTTCCATATGGCTAGAAACTCCTCACTGGGTTTTCCTGTAATTCTCATATATGTGTGTGTGTGTGTGTGTGTGTGTGTGTGTGTGTGTGTGTGTGTATAGTGAATTTGTTCTCCAAGCCATTTTAAAGTGCTTTGACAAATATGAAAACTTTGTATTAAAGCTTGATTCATATTTTATCTATGTAGAAGTGTCTTTATTTTTTGTTATTGCAAAAATGCTATATTTTAGGGGCTGGGGTTGTGGCTCAGTGGTAGTACACTTGCCTTGCATGTGTGAGGCACTGGGTTCGATCCTCAGCACCACATTAAAAAAACAAAAGAAAAGTTATTTTTTACAATGCTGTATTTTAGTAAATAAAGTCAGACTATACTGATTTATATAAAGTAAAAGTGAACATCTGAGAAAATATCTGTACTCGAGAAAAAGGGCACTATTTTATTTATTTCTTAGTTGTAGTTGAACACAATACTCTTATTTTATTCATTTTTACATGGTGCTGAGGATGGAACCCAGGGCCTTGCACATGCAAGGTGAGCACTTGACCGCTGAGCCGCAACTCCAGCCGCAAGGGCATATTTTAAATAAACATTAATGAAAATTGCCAGAAATGTGAATGCTTATAACCCACGGTACATGTATAGTTGTTTTACACCAGTGGCTGATGCTGTTGTGGTTTGCAGTAACCTGCTCTCCTCACAGCTCTTCTCTTTCCATTTTGTGGCTAGGTTTGTTTCCAGGTCCACCTAGTGTTTATTTGAGGGATGCAGTCAGTCCCTTCTTCAAAGGGATTTAGATGGTTTTCCTCCTTTTTGACTGTTATAAACAATAGGTCAGAGAGCACCCTTATGTACACATTTTTGTGCCCTTGTCTGTTATTTCTTTAGGATAAATGCACTGAAGAGACTCCGCAGCCTCAACACGTACACATTTAAACTGGAGGATCCCAGACACACCAGGCTTGGCCTATTCAGGGCCCTGGTACGTGCTGTCTCCCTTGCCTGGAAAACTTTCCACCTCATTCCTACCCGGCTCGCGCACCTCCTCATTTTAGACTCAGCTCAAACAGGCTCCCCAGAGAGATCTGCTCTGGCCACTCTCTGCTGCTGTTCCCCCATCTTCCTCTCAGGAACACAGAATTGCTCAGTCTCTGATATGTTCTCATTGTTGGCCATGACTGGCTCATTTTATACATAATATAATAAATATAAATCAGACACTCGATACAAGAACTGAAACATCATCGTAACTTTCCTTCTCCCATTAACTCCTTTCCTGTCTTGCCATCTGCCTCCCCTTACCTGAGGCAATGTCTACCCCAAATCTTCTTTAACATCTTTAAAGAACATAACAGCTTTATTGAGATATAATTTACATACCACAGTGTTCACCCACTTACAGTGCATCATTCAGTGGCTTTTAGTATATTTACAGAGTTGTGTAACCATCACAGTAGATTTTAGAATATTTTCATCTTTCATCATTAGCAGTCACTCCCCCATCTGCTCTGCAGCCCTTCTAATCCCAGCTCTAGGCAACCACTAATCTACTATCTGTCTCTATGGATTTGCTTATTCTGAACATTTCATGTAAACAGAATCATGCAAGTTGTCGCCTTTTGGGACTGACTGCTTTCATTTAACATCCTCTTTTCTGGATTTATGGTGTTGTAGTATATATCAGAACTGAATTCCCTTTTCTTGCCAAATAATATTTCATTGTGTGGATATACCACAGTTTCTTTACCAGTTAGCCAGTTAATGAACATTTGTGTTGTTTCTACGTTACAGCCATTGTGAATAATGTTGCTATGAATATTCATATGCAAGTTTTTGTGTGTCACACGTTTTCATTTCCTTTGGGTATATACCTAGGAGTGCAATTGCTAGGTCATATGGTAACTCTGTTTAGCCTTTTGAGCACCTGCCAAAGCAACTGCATCATCTTAAATTCTAGCCAGCAGTTTATGAGGTTACAATTTCCTCTTTTGGGGCTGGGGATGTGGCTTAAGTGGTAACGTGCTCTCCTGGCATGCGCAGGGCCCTGGGTTCGATCCTTAGCACCACATAAAATAAAGATGTTGTGTCCACCGAAAACTGAAAAATAAATATTAAAAAAACTCTCTCTCTCTCTCTCTCTCCCCCCCTCTCCCTCTCCTCTCTCTCTCTCTAAAAAAAAAAAAAAAAAACCAATTTCCTCTTTCACTTACTTTAAAAATATACACTTATTATTATTAGAGCTTGATAGTTATACATAGTAGTTGATTTCATCTCCACAAACTCATATATGCATGGAAATCAATTCCCCTCCCCCATCTTTTCCCTCTCACTAAAAATATACACTTTCTTAGCCTGGTGCCATGGCATAGGCCTGTAATCCTAGCAGCTCAGGAGGCTGAGGCAGGAGGATCACAAGTTCAAAACCAGCCTCAGCAAAAGCAAGGCACTAAACAATTCAGTGAGACCCTAGCTCTAAAAAATATACTAAATAGGGCTGGGGATATGGCTCAGTAGTAGAGTACCCCCTGTACAAAAATAAAAATTATACACACATACACACACACACACACACTTTCTTAAAAATGTGTTGTCTTGGAGCTGGGGCTGGGGCTCAGTGGTAATGCACTTGCCTGGCATATTTGAGGCACTGGGTTTGATTCTCAGCACCACATATAGATAAATAAAAATAAAGGTCTATCAACAACTAAAAAAAATTTTTTTTAAAGTGTTGTCTTTAGTTTTAGCAAAAGGATATCATACTTCATGCAGTATCTCCTCTTTGCTTTCTCAGTGTTCATCCACCTCTGAACCCCTTTTGATATTATCAGATGTCTTCATTTTTCCCTGTATAATTCTCTCACCACTCTTTTTTCTTCATAGTACTTGTCATATTCTGAATTATTTTCTTTGTTTGCTGCTTGCTGCCTGTCTTCTCTCCACTAGAGTGTCTGCTCTAAGAGGGTGAGAGTTTTGACTTTTTTTTTTTTTTTTTTTTATTGCTCTAACCCGAGGACAGTGTCTGGCATTGTATGCTGAACCTGGCCTCTACCACAGGCACGCCCAGCCCAGCATGCCTCCTTAAAGCTTTCCAACTTACATCTTCCTTCCTTCCTGCCCGCCTTCCCTTCTTTCCTCTTCCTATTTTTTTTTTTTTTTTGGTATGGTACAGGGTGTTGAATCCACACTTAGGTACATCACCAGTCCTTTTTTTGAGACAAGGTCTTGCTAAGTAAGTTGCCCAGGCTGGCCTTGAACTTGGGATCCTCCTGTCTCAGCTTCCTGAGTAGCTGGGGTAGCCCTGCTCCCTCTCTATACTTTCACTATGTTGCCATAGTCTGGCCATGAACTACTGGGCTCAAGCCATCTTCCTGCCTCAGCCTCCCCTGTAGATGGGTTCACAGGCTCCTGGTGCTGTGCCAGGCTTTCCATATTTCTTTAGAATGTGTGCTCATTTGACACCTGGGCAGATAATTTTTTTTAACATCCACCTCCTCTAAATAATATTATTTTCAGGAACAGCCATGAAATACAGTGAATTAATACTAGTGATAATGACCAGAAAAGAAATATACATGGAACCCTTTTATTGAACTTGGTATATAGACTTTTTTTTTTTTAGTTGTAGTCGTACACGATATATTTATTTATTTATTTATTTATTTATTTTTATGTGGTGGTGAGGATCGAACCCAGGGCCTCACACATGCTATGTGAGCACTTTGCCACTGAGCTACAGCCCCAGCCTGGTATATAGACTCTTGCCAGTAAAAATAAATATTACAGTGCAAAAAGCAGAACAGAGCTAATAGATCAATACTTTTCAATTACCTTAATGTATTTATTTGAAGAAATTGTAAAACATACACACATGGTGGCCTGTTGCAATAATAATTCATTAATTATGTTATACTTTAAAAGCAAGTGAGAAAAATATCAATTGAAAAATAAGAGATGCAGCCTGGGGATATAGCTTAGAGATGGAGTACTTGCCTAGCATAATGTGTGAAGCTCGGAATTCAGTCTCCAGTGGAACACACACACACACACACACTAGGGCTGGGGGTGTGGCTGAGTGCTTACCTAGCATGCACACAAGGCCCTGGGCTAAATTCCCAGCAAAACAAAAACAAAATGAAAGAGCCGTACCAGACAGGCAGGTAGCACAACCCTGTAATCCCAGCTTCTCAGGAGCCTGAGGCAGGAGGATTGCAAGTTTGAGGCTAGCCTGGGAAATTTGGTGAGAACCTACCTCAAACAAGGCTAGAGATGCAGCTGGATGGTAGAGTGCCCCTGGGTTCAATCCCTAGTACCACAATCAATCAATCAGTCAATCAATGAGCTGGGCGGGGGTAGTAACTCAGGGTTCTGGGTTCGGTCCCTAGCACTGCAAAATAAGTAATAAGAGCCAATTTCAATATTAAATATATTCCAATTTGATAGTAGAGCATAAGTTTACTAAACAGTAATAGTATAGTATGATCTTACTAAGTCATAGTTACCACATTTTCGAGTTTGTCTTTTCACTGTTTTAAAATTTTATTTATTTATTTATTTTTTAATATTTTTAGTTGTTGATGGATCTTTATTTTATTTATTGGTATGTGGTGCTGAAAATTGAACCCAGTGCCTCATGCATGCTAGGCAAGCGCTCTACCACTGAGCCACAACCCCAGCCCTGTTTTAAAATTTTAAATAGCAAATTTCCAAGTGGTCACATGAAATGACAGTATTGGCAACTCAAGTTCTGCTCTTTCAAAAGTCACTGTGCTGTCATTGTTTTGGATCTGTTGTTTAAACACAGACATGTGTGGTACCAAAGGCGATGGAGACACGACTGTGCAGGAGACGGCCTGAACAATTCTGAACTGTTGGGGACTTACTCTCAAAATGAATGCAGACAGTTGATTCTGGCTCCCTGGGTGTTAGGGCTGACTGTATAACTGGGAATGCTTTGAATTAACTTCCTTGTAGAAGGCTTATTACTGCATAAGTAATTAAAGTGTTCTGATTTAAAGCTTACAAATATATCATTAAAACTCAAGCTAGACCAACAACTTGATCTTCTTTGGGGAGGAGTATTTTATCACCAACATGGTTTAGAATTGTGGTTGCATGGTGATAATAAAAAGCAGACTAACTTTCAATCACTTTTATTATTCTCTGTAATTCTCTGCAGACAGTGCACCCTGTCAAGGCCTGTGCAGCCCCACCGGGTACCCACTGCAGAGCATCAAGGGACTCCTGCAGTTACCACTTCAGTTGTGCCACAAGGCCAGAGGACTCACCCGGTTTCCACTCTCACCATTGTATTCCCAGCACCTAGTGGAGCTTGGCACTATGTAGGCTCTCAATATCTGTTCAGTCTCTGGGTACGGTGGTATACACGTGTAATCCCAGCGGTTCGGAAGGCTAAGGCAGGAGGATCACAAGTTCAAAGCCAGCCTCAGCAACTTAGTGAGGTCCTGAGCAACTTGGCATAGACTGGTATAGACTCTGTCTCAACGTGAAATATAAAAAGGGCTGGGGGGCTGGGATTGTGGCTCAGCGGTAGAGCACTTGCCTAGCACGTTCGAGGCCCTGGGTTCGATCCTCAGCACCACATAAAAATAAATGAATAAAATAATGGTACAGTGTCAACTACAACTAAAAATTATTTTTAAAAAAATAAATAAATGAAAATTAAAAGGGCTGGGGGTGTGCTTCGGTGGTTAAGCATCCCTGGGTTCAATCCCTGGTAGAAAAAAATATATCTGTTCAGGGAAGGAAAGAAGACACCAACTCAGGTGAGCTAGACTCCCCCCCACCTCCAACTATGTCTAACTCCAGAAGGACCCATCTTCAAACAAGTGAACCAGTGTTTTCCTCAGAGACATTCAGAATGAAAAGACAAGGTCGGTTGGTCCGTCTCTCTTTTCTCTCTCTCCCTCTCTCTCTTTCTCTTAAATTCATCTAAATTTCTTCATTTAAACAAATTCAGAGGCTATGATAATAAGTGTGTTATAAGACCCTTTCTTTTTATTAAATGATAGTATAGAACTATTTATATAAATAAATAGCTATATTTATTTATATGCAGCACTGGGGATTGAATCCAGGTCTCATGCACCATTAGGGAAGCACTCTTTCTGTGAGTTACACCCTTAGCCCTCATAGGTAGCTACTGAGCACTTGAAATGTGGCTAGTATGAATTGAAATGATGCTGTAGTGCAGAATACACATTGGCTTTCACATATTATTATTAAAAAAAAAGTAACATAACCAGGAGCCGTGGCGCACGCCTGTAATCCCAGCAGCTCCAGAGGCTGAGGCAGGGGAATCACGAGTTCAAAGTCACCCTCAGCAACGGTGAGGGGCAAAGCAACTCAGTGAGACCCTGTCTCTAGATAAAATACAAAATGGGCTGGGGATGGGGCTCAATGGTTAAGTGCCCCTGAGTTCAATTCCCGGTACAAAAATAAATAAATAAATAAAAAATAAGTTCTGTTTATATATTTCTATTGATTACACGTTGAGAATATATTTTGGATATATATCACGTTTACTGAACTTACATGTAATTAATAGTAGTCATTAGCAAGTAATGATTAATAAAGCAAATAAAATATATGAAAATTAAATTTCATTTGTTTGTTTCTCTTTGTTTTACTTTTTAAAATGGGGCACCTGGGAATTTTTGTTTATTAATTTTTCCTGCTGCACTGGGGCTTGAACCCAGGCCTTTGCACATGCTAAACAAACATTGAACCCCCATGTTTCATCCCCAGCCACTCTGGAAATTTTTAACTTCCACTTGTGGCTTGTGCTATATTTCTATTAGCACTTATGGAAGATGGAGGGGTTTTTTGGTCTATGGTTGGCAAAATAAAAAGGTGATAATCTTTTATCTGTCTCCAAATTAAAAAACAACAACAACATTTTATTTTATTTTATTAGTGGGGGAAGAATTAAAAAAAAAAACGTTTCTATGGAATTCCAAAATTTAAAAAACCCTGGTCCAATACTGGGTGGCCATACACGAGATGTAGCTGGAGACTCAGAGAAGCACAAGGCTTCCACAGATGTGAACTTTCCACTGGTTTGTTCAATATTATGAGTTTCTAGGGAGTTAATTCTACTTATTTGCCTCAGTTTTCTTACTTCAAAATGAGAAAGCTTAGGCCCTACATCACGGTGGCATGGATGACAACTACACCAAGAAGAACAACAAAAATACTCTGTCTAAAAAAAAAGCAAGGCAAAGTGGCATCTGCCTATAGTCACAGCTATGTGACAGCTTGAGAGGCTGAGGAAGGAGTATTGCTGGAACAAGGCCCTGTCAAAAAAAAGACTAGAGAGAATAGTAAAAAGATATGTTATTCTTGGGGGAGAGAGTTGAATAAGTGAAGCTCAGGGGACTTTTTTTTAGGGTAGTGAAACTTCTGTAAGATATTATAATTGTGGCTATGTATGCATTAGTCATTCATTCAGTTTTACAGCACAAAGAGATGAATCTTAACATTTAAAAGATGTAAAATTTTTAGAAAATCATTTAATGCATCTGGAGAATTCCAAGATTGAATGCAGAATGTGACAAAACAGGCTGGGGCTGCAGCTCAGTGACAGAGCGCACCCCTCCAAAATCTAAACTCTGTTACAAATGTGTGAAACAATATCACTGAAGGGTGTGGAGGAGAAGGTGCTGACCTGAGTGACATTAGAAATGAGTGGCATCTGCAACACCAGAGGCCAAAGAAAGTATATACAAGGCTGTGCTTGATAAAATTTCCCATGGGCATGCATTAACGATTTCGACACTGCTCAGCATATGTACTGGAAATAAACAAATGATCAAATGGCTGGTGGGTGATGGGACTCACCATTTCCACTGTTGGGATGGGAGTTCACTGATATGCAAGTGGGAAGAGGCTTAGAATGGCCCATGTGATAATGGATTAGAGGGCTGGGGATGTGGCTCAAGCGGTAGCGCGCTCGCCTGGTGTGCGTGCGGCCCGGGTTCGGTCCTCAGCACCACATACAAAGATGTTGTGTCCGCCAAATACTAAAAAATAAATATTAAAAACTTCTCTCTCTCTACCTGTATCTCTCGCACTCTCTCTTTCAAAAAAAAAAAATAATGGATTAGAGTTGTAAATATAAGCAGGCCTGCATTCCCACATCTGTAATCTCATCTACTGGGGGGGCTGCAGCAGGAGGGTCACAAGTTCCAAGCCAGCCTCAGCAATTTAGGGGGAGGATGTCTTGAAAATAAAAAGAGCTGGGGATGTACCTTAGAAGTACAGCTCCTGTGGGCTCAATCCTCAATCACACACACACACACACACACACACACACACACACAAAGATAGGTCACTTGGATGAGAAATTGCCATGGCCAAGAGGAAGTTAAGGAGACAACTAAATGTGAGGTGTATGTCATGCTGGATGGATCCTGGGATAGAAAAAAGGACATTAGGACATTAAGGGTGAATTATGCATTCTAATAATGTATCATTATTGGTTTCTTAATGGAAATGTACCATATTAATGCATGATATTGGTAATAGGGGAAAGAGGGAGGGTAGGGTATATGGGAACTTTGTAATTAGCAATTTTCGTAAATCTAAAACTGTTTTTTTTAATAGAATAAGGTTTCAAAAGCATATTTGCTTTATCTACACTTCAGAATGACAAAGATATAATGCAGCCTACCTCAAAAACAGAATTTCTTAAACAGAAGGTTTTTTTTTTTTTCCCAAGAAGGTTTTTTTATGCCTAAAATCCCAGGAAGATTGAGGCAGGAGGATTTTGAGTTCAAGCCAGCCTGAGCAACACAGCAAAACTGCAACTGAAAAAAAAAAAAGATTCCTTCCATGGTTTAAGAAAAATTTCAACAGCTTTAATATGTTCTGAATCCAGGAGTTAAATTGTTCAATACAAGTCAGCTACGAATTAATTAGGTTAATGTCTTAAGAACTCAGGGTCAAAAAATTCAGGATCTCTAATTTGTATCTGAAATACAAACAAGGAAAGATGACCAATTCCATCGTTCATTTTAAACTAAATGAAAATACCAGGGCTGGTGCTGCATCTCAGTGGTAGAGCACTTGCCTAGCATGCGAGAGGCCTTGGGTTGGATACTCAGCACCACATAAAAAATAAAGAAAAATGAAGACATTGTGTCCATCTACAACAACAACAACAAAAAAATTAAAGAGAATACCTATAATGAAAGAAATTCACATCGAACAGATTATAACAATTCCTTTGCCTACATACTCATTGCCTTGCCTAAACTTGCCTTAATAGAATACATATATTGTATAATTGAAACAATTTTGCTCTTATATAAACTACCAACCAAAGATTATGCAGGCTGCAACTGACAAAGGCGTTACTGGTAGTTCCTTCTAATTTGGAGAATTCCTTGCAAAGGGAGAGAGAGGAGGAGATAAAGAGGAGAGAGGGAGGAGAGGAAAGAGGAGAGAAAGGGGAGAGAGAGGGGAAAGGGAGGAGACAGGGAGGGAGAGGGAGAGCGAGCCAGAGCACCGCGCCTCCTTGCTACACTGAGGATTGAGGGAGGGCAGGGTCGATGCTCATTGGTGGTGTCCCTGGGCCGAGGGCAGGGCTCTCAGCCAAGCCTGCTGATTGGTGACCTTCCGGAGCGCCGGGATGGAGCTTGGAGCCTATTGGCTGCGACGCTGGAGGGTGGTGTAATGGACCGCCGAGGCTGTGCGGCCGGTTTCTATGGCAACCGAGGCTTGAAAGAAGCGCTCAGATTTCGGCGCTCGCCCCCAACTCCCCCTTCCGGAGGGGGCAGGGCGGCCTGGATTCGACGGCCGGTGGCAGAGGCGTGGGGGCTGGGAGTTAAGGGGACTTGGCCTGCTTTGGACTAAACCAACCTAGCAATGCCACCTCTGAAGCAGGTCTCAAACCCGGCCTGCATGCTCTCCCAAAAAACAGCCGAACGGAAAGGGGCTTCTTCTCCGAAGGAGAATGATGACCTGTAACCCCATTCCCCCAACCTCTCCACTGGTAACACTTTGACCACAAAGCCAGGCCCTGATTAGGTGTCCAGTACTTACAGTGAAGAAGAAATGAAGGAAGGAAGAGGGGAGAGAGTGGGAAGATCCATGAAGTGGGCGACATGACGTGGGCTGAGACCAGTTGCCCTCCCTTTGTGGCTGAAAGTCCAGTTGACCCCTAAGGCTAACGGGGTCTGACAGCCTTGGATGTAGGGGCTCGGCGGAGGAGGGGTAGCTGGTGCCTTGGAAGGCGGTGGGGACGACCAGCAGCCCTAGAGTCTCTCCTGGTGTTTGGGAGGCCTGACTGCAATCAGGCTCCTCCCTGCCTAACAGCCCTCTGGCTCTGCTCAGCGCCAGTGTTTCAACTAGATCCCCAAGTCTTTGTGCTTGGGCAGTAACAAATGGTACCCACTTCATTGAGTTGGTGTCAGAACTGCGTTGAGCTAATGCACTAAGTTTCTTAATACAACGCCTGGAACAGTGTGCAATCCACAGTAGCCATTATAATTGAAGAAGGGGTAGGATTTGTCTAGGCAGAGAAAATGGGAGAGATGTCATGGTTGTTAGGAGGCAGAAGTGGTGTGGAAAGCCTACAAAAGACCTGTTTGGATGTCAGAGAAAATCATGGGAGGTAATAACCAAAGACATAAAATAAATAATAAAATAATGATGGGAGCTACTATAGGCAGAAGACCTGGCCTTCTGCCAGGCCCTTTACATGAATTGTTTTATTTCATCTTCTCACTAGTCCTGATGAGACCGTTACAGAGCTGGGGCCTTCTGAGGAACTGAGGCAGCATGAAGACCCCCCTTCAAGTCCTGATTCTTGTGATCAAATCAGAAAGATTTCAGACATGTTGCTCAGAGTAACAGGAGTTTTATTGAAAGGATAGGAAAAGGAAAGGGGATACTTTAAAGGGAGAAAATAAGTCCTCTCAGAGAGGAGAGAGAGACCATGTCTCTCCTGCACTCCAGTTTTATTGGGGATCCCAGAGAAATTTCCATAGAGTCCTGCCCAAGTCCACCTCTTGACTTTAGACTGACAGCAAGATGACATCAGGCTTTCAAGTCCCCACTGCCATGACAACTCTGTGTCACTTTGGCCCATACTAAGCAGTTCTAATTGGATTCTTTTTAAAAAATATTTTTTAGTTGTTGATGGACCTTTATTTTATTTATTTGTTTGTGGTGCTGAGAATCGAACCCAGTGCCTCACACTTGCCAGGCAAGTGCTCTACCACTGAGCTGCAACCCCAGCCCTCTAATTGGATTCTTAATCATTTTTACAGGTTTTATGGTTAGGAGGAATTACCCTTATCTTCCAGAATCTGGTCTGTGAAAAGGGTCACAACTTTCTCTCCCTTCAAAGTAACTTGGGTTTCTCTTATCAATGTTATTTCCTGCCTGCATTTCCTTGCAGATAACAGGTAGTTTGCTGAAGAATGTGACATATCCTGTCCACTTAGAACCAGGCAGGGCTGCAGGTAAACTGCTTTTGGTCAAGAAAGCATGTAGGGGTCAACACAGTGGGTCCATTTCATAGAATTATTTTCTTTTTCTTTCTTTTTTTTTTTTTGAGAGAGAGAGAGAGAGAGAGAGAATTTTAATATTTATTT